AACACTACTTCAAATGACCTAAAATTGCTAATGGGCCCATTTTTCTTCCATGATTCATCATCCATGACATATGCACGACCACTTGGCCCAAAGGGAAGTATTTTCTCATTTTTTATTTATTTATTTGAATTATTATTTATATTAATTCATCTAAATCATTTAAAATATATGAAAAATCTTTAATCCACCCTAACCAATCTTTTTATACATGTTTTGAACTCAATATTTCGTGCTTGTACAATTATGGAAAGATTTGGCTTAATTGGATGCTAATTGATACAAAAACATGTGAAAAAGATATGGAAAAGATCTTAAGAAATCAAATATTCAAAACAATGAATTACAAGAGATTTGATCAATATTTTTGACCTAATGCATTCACTACAAAGGCTTGATCATAAACCTAATCGTGCTACACAAAAAACTGCGCAAGAAAGCCATTGGAAAACTTGAAAAAAATTTGCAAAAACTCAAATCTGAAAAACCCTTTTTAGGTCGATTCAAAGCTCAAGACTTGGTTCAATAGCTTCCTTGAAGGTCCCTGATCACATTCCAATCAGAAACCACCATCAAAACTCCAAGAATTGGTATATTGAACGCAAACTGCATCAAGAAAATTGCATAATCGTATTTTGATTTTGAAGCATAATCATTGCATTTTCTTTATGGATTATTACTCATTGATGATCTCTGATGCTAACTGTACAATTTAATTGTGTTTTTGTGCTCTCAACGCGATTTTACCATGTTAGCTTTCTAGGGTTTGCAGGATGAGAAATTAGGGCTTTTGAAACAAAGTAAAATTAGCCCTTAAGACCACCGTGGTTGTACTCAGTGCATCTAGACGAAGTAGAAGCACCCATCGCGCCAAATTTATGGACACCACAAGCCTAATCGCTATTTTCTAATAGCACCCCTAAAACTACGCATGAAAAACCGTTGCCTTTGTGTTTTGTTTTACAGGGATGGTGAAGAAGATGATGTGTTGTCAACAAATGATACGCCAGTTTGAAAACTCGCGCGCGTTACCCACTAACGTTTTGTTTTCTTTTTATAATATTTGTTAATTATTATATAGTAAATACATGCGCAGTGGTTCAGTGGCAGGTGTACACCTTTGCAATGTCTAAGACCTGGGTTCGAGTCCCAGGTCTGTATAATTTCTCATACTATTTTGCAATAATAATTCCTATGCAGCGCTCATGTTAAGACGTACCATGCACTTCCAAATCCAATGTGACACGCCCCTCTCAAGATCAAACCAAAGGCTGGGATTGAAGATACACCCTACACCCTGGTCAAAAGTGTCACATGGTGCCTGGAAAAGTCAACGAATTCAAAGCTAAATGGGCCAGATTGCTGAGCCCATACCTCCTAAATTGGGACTTCCACCCCCCTGGTTTGCCAATTCTATACATTTTCATTATATTTTATTTTTTTCAATTATTGTTTTATTTATTTTATTGTTTTGATTTAATTAATTATTTTTTACAAAATATAAAAAATGCCTAAAAATCAGAAAAGACAAAAAAATATAATAAATGCTTTATTTTAATTATTTTCATAAACCAATTGCATGTAAATAAATTAATGTAAATTAGGGTTTTAATTCTTTTCATAAAAAATCTAAAAAATATAGAATTAGGTTTAATTAATTTTTATTCCTTTTTAATTTTTCTTTTGTCACAATTTTTTTAATATTATTTTATTTACTTTCATGATTAAATTGTACATAAAAACAACTTAGGTTTAATTTAGGTTAAATTTTAATACTTTCATAATAAATTTAAAAGCCATTAGAATTAGGGTTTGCTTTTCATTTTAATTTTAATTAATTCTCTTTTTCATTAAATCTTAAAAATACTAAAAAACACCAAAAAAAAAAAGCTCTTTTCCTTCTAATTTTAATTTTAATTCCTTATTAATTTTAATTTTGCAAAAGGGTCCAACGCCCATGTTCTAAATTTTTATTCGTTCGCATATTTACTTTATTTCGTTTAAATAATTATGTACCTCTCCCGAAGCTTTGTAACATTTACTTCTCGCACTTTTAATTCTTTTACTTTATTTATTTTTCTGTCAAATCGGGTCCTGGTTAATTTTGGCGATGTGGACCCGCGCCATTTGTAATAGCTTTAGATTTACTTTTCCTCGCAACTTTTAACTATTAAACAAAGCATGCAAGAATGAATGATTAAATAAAAAAATAAACGCGTAGATCACTTTAACATGACAAGACAAATGCAAATGAAAACGACACACAATTCGCACACACCACCCCTAGGGTACGCCTCACTGTTGCCTTGCCTTTCGAAAGGTGATCGTCGAGTAGAGGATGTCTTAGTAAGTCCTCATGATCCGGGAACCTGGCATGAGGGTAGCTTCTAAGGTGTCTTCCCATTGCTCTGGTGATCACCATGTCCCGAACCTCGAATTGACCCGAACACCTCCAACGGTGGTGCTACCTACCTCTCAATGGTGGGATGGCACTACTTTAAAGGACATTTACACAGACGAATTCCTTAGGGTAGGTAGGTTCCCGTAGATACTTGCTCTAAATTCAAAACAAATTCAAAAATACTTTTCACACCAACACATTTTCAAAAAGCTTTCGAAAGCATTTTTCAAACACTCTTGAGGACCGATACAAGGGTCGAACTGAAATTTTCAAAGAAACTTTTTTAAAAACCCACATTGAAAAGCAAACAAACCATTTTTGAAAACACAAGTGAGCAAGTATCTAAGAGCCCATGGATAACCATGGATAGAAAGGGTGCTAACACCTTCCCTTTCTATAATCTACCTCCCGAACCGAGAGCAATCTCTATAAGGAATTTTTCTGTGCTTTTGTCCTTTCCATTTGGAGAAAATAAAAGACGGTGGCGACTCTTGCTTCCGCGACATTTCGCGAACCAGCGTTAAACAGTCAGTTCCAGATCCACCGATCACAGTCATCATCAACACTCGATAAGACTTTGTTTTCCTAGGCATGTGGACTTTAAGAAGGGATTGCACTGAGAGTTGTTCATCAATTAAGTCTTACTTTCTCAAGGATCCAACTCATGATTCAAAAAGCACACGACATGGAGATATCTTAGTGTACTTATGGTATGTTAGGGTTTTTGTTCAAGAAGTTTCAATGTGTAACATAAGGCAACGATATCTTCAGAGGATCCTATCCATGGGAAATTAGGGTTCGTGTATATCTTAATACAAGATATTTCATCTGAATGCTTGGTTTACTTGTGTTACGAGATTCTTTTGAGTTCATTCTGAATTTCATTAAGCCATAGACTCAACGCTTATTATGAAGGTTTAAGATTTTGGGTTAAGGGTTGAAGTTCTTATAATAATGATCATTCAGTCATTCTGGGATAATCAAAGCGCAATGATACATTCAAGGGATAATTCAAAGGTTGAGTTTGATTCAAAGTCTAAGTAACTCGAACTCAAAGTTTTGTGCATGATTCTTCAACTAAGAGTTTGCTTCAAAGGGAAGTTAGTGAGAATTTGAGATTGGAACATGGGGATTGAAGCCTCTTAAAATTGCAAGCGTGGCGTGTAAAATTGATGAAAGTTTCTAATGGAGTTTTTGGATTCAAGTTTCGGAAAATCATAATATATCAAAAATCAAATACCAAGATCTCATTAAAATTCATTCAAGTTCCAAATATTATAACATCACATAAATACAAGTTCAATTACTATTACATCATTTAACATTATTACATTACATCGACGGGAAGGATTACAAATTTCACAAAATAACACTATCCTAAACCTATGTGCCATTCATCTTCATCTTCATGACATGATTTGAATCTCCACTCATTCATAACCATGAACCATGCTTCGCCTTCATAACCATGAGCCATGCCTCAAAATCTTCATGAACCAAAACTTGTCTGCACCGTCCGCACCCCCCTTTTCAATAAACCAAGCCCTACATTCAGCCATGAAACCAAGCCCCTGCAAAACCAATCTAAAAAAACCACCTTGTTCAAGGAAAAAGCCAGCAAAACTGTCAATTCCTAACAGAAACAATTTCTAACAAACTCAGCATAACTTTTCTAAACCCTCACCAATTGTGCAAAACAGATTTTTCTACTACCAGAAAACCCATAACATAAAACCAAAACAACAACCTGTAATCAGCCTTCCATCTCCTAACCAAATTCTAGCTTCAACCAACCGCCTCCCAACCAAATTGTAACAGAAAAGAGTGGAGTGGAAAATTTCCAGTAAAGATAACCATAATAGTCTCCGGCCTCTAAAATGAACCTGCAAAATTCCCTAACAAATTTCTAACTCCCTTTAATAACTGAAACAGAAAGTTAATACCAAAACCTTTAACAGCCTGTACCAAAATCTAAAACAGATTTCAACCAATTTTATAACAAATTCTGCAATTGTCAATCTATAACCAAACCTAAACAGAATTTCCAACCAGTTCTAAACATCCCTGCAAACTTTCAGTTGAATTCCTTAACCGCCCCTCCAACAGAATTTTCAAACTTGTAACTAATTCTCACTCTTCTAACTTCCAAAAGAATCCTAACGAAATTCATAACTTCCTATCTTCTAACTAACTAACTAACTCCCACAACAGATTCAAAAGATAACAAATTTTACCAATTCACCTTCAATCATCCCCACCAATTATCCACATCCGTGTAACCATATCCTAACTACTCTAACTGCCAAACAAAAAGTTCATAACAAAAAATAGATTTCCTAACGGAATTCAGAAGAAGAAAAGAGGAGGCACGATTCAGGAAAAAACCAGAAAATTATCCACAGAAAATCACATAAAATGGCCTTGAAATCACTCCTATGAGTTCTCTCTGAACTGCTTCACAATCATCTTCATCACCTCTCTCCTTGAAGCTTCAACCTTCACACATACTACCCTCGCTCACAAGAGTATCATCTTCATGAATCTCCATCTCCATAATCAAAACCGATGTTTCTGAAACCTTCATCATTCTTTCCGCAACTTGCTACAAATCCACAACTGCTACTGCAATAAATCCCTTCCACCACCTACAACCACCATCATTTCCCGCTGCAATCTCCATTCGACCTTCTTTTTTCTTCAATCTCCCGCAACAATCTTGCCACAACCTCCCGCAATAATTATCATCGATCTTCAGCAAAACGTGAACATCACAACAACCTCTATCTCTCCTTCACATCAACGCTTCAATCAACAAAGCTTCACTTTAATCTGCATCTTCTTCAATCTCCGCTAGTTTTCACGCAAAAAAGGCAACTACATCAACCGCACAAAACATCAACACACATAGTAGCAGAGTCACGGAAGAAGAGAAAATGAGATGCAGGGTACATACCGGAAAGCATCATATTCATTAGCGATTGAGGTTGGTTTTTCACGGCCTTTCACCATCTTCTTGATACCGTATTGTAATCCTTGCATCACAGAACCATAGCCCTTCATCGATTGTATAGTTTTCGTGGTTCACCATTCAATCTGAAGCTTGCACCGTCAGGGTTGGTTGCTTGAAGATAAGATCCCGGTGTGTTTCGTGAAATCAAGAAAGATTGGGCATAAGAAGGTTGTCGCCAGAAAATCTAAAGAAGTGAAGTGGAGATTCCGCCATTGTGTTTGAGAGATTGAGATAAATCAGATGTAAGGTTGGGGAAAGTATGCAGACGGAGGGAAATCCAAGAGGTGAATTCGCGACGAATACGGCAGACGATTGTGCGTGATGCGGTGTTGAGACGAGAATCGTCAGAGAAGTGGTGACTGAGACGGGGAAAACGGCGACGGAGAGAGGTTCAAAAGTCAGTCGCAGCGATGGAGCAGTGAAGAGGATTCTGAATAGTCACATTTTAACCCTAGCCTCTATGTTCCAAAACGGCGCCGTATCCTCTCCTTTCAATATTTCATCTTTACAATTATTCTTGTAAGTTTTTGATATGGCTTTTAGTATGATTGTTGAACCGGATTCAATAAACCCTTGCCTGGCCCATGGTGTTTTGGTTTTTGGTTGACTACACAAAAAGGCTGGCTGAACCAAGTTGCCTTTAATTAGGCCCATTAGCACCTATTTTTTGGTAATTGGAGTCTTGTAACAAAAACTGGTTGGATTAAGCTTGATGGGCCTAGCGCCCTTACCTATCAAACACCCAGTTTCAGATTAATGCCCCATTTGTGTATCAATTTAATTGTTTCATATTTTTTAATTACCATTAATTTTGATAAATTCTTTGGTGATAAAATAATGCATAGTATGAAATGCTTTGGAATTTTAAGAAATTAGTTAGAAATTTTTATGATTAATTATTATGTTAATTTATGGATTGTTATTTGAGGTATCTTGATGCCATTCGCGCGCGATAATGGTGTTCAATCCATGATATGTGTTGGCATGGTTGTGGGATGATTATGTTGAATATTTCAAGAGGCTTTGAAGCTAGCTAAGAGTATAATTTTCATCAAGGAAGTTCAAAGAAGCATTTTGTAGAGTTTTCTCTTTGCTTGCATGATTACGAAGAGGCAACGGACCTTCTCCGTTTGGTATCATCACAACCTCATTTTATTCCTCATTTCTGCACTTTACCGCTTTTCTAGATACCATGAGAAGTAGGAAATAAAGAGTGTGCGATCGAAGTCGTTGTTTAAAGACTTGTAGCAGGCATTCTGCACTTCATTTCCTATATGTGTTGTGCTTGTGCTTGTTTCTTTGTTTGATTGATCGATGAGTCACTCAATTTAGAAATTGAGATCACGACTTCGCTCTCAGTGCATTCTCCCTATAGGATTATATTACTTTCCTTTATTTCTTGTTGATCGATGAGTCACTCAATTTAGAAATTGAGATCACGACTTCGCTCTCATTGCATGTTCCCTATAGGATAATTTTGTTATACTTTCTTTGGGACGCTAACCTAGGTAGGATCTTTCTAGGTATGCTCTCTTGAGTTTATTAGCTTGTTTTCTTTATCCTTGTACATACCAGTTCCCTTAGGATGCGCTTTCTTTGTTCGGATGCAAGTTAGACCTTAGGTTGTAAACCATGCATGCTAACATTAGGTAGACATTTCCCTTTCATTCATCCTTGATTTAGGGCTACCATTGTATTATAACATTAGGTTTAGGAATAGGCTAGTCTCCCGTAGACTCTTTTCCTTCCCTTTTTGCATCCGTGCATCTAAAACTAAAACTTCTTTTCTTAGCAAATCAAAAACATGCTAATCATACTTAAACCCTTTTTCAAGGTAATAAAACACAAACAAATTCAAACCATTTTGTGTGTGTTGTACCCCAAAATTTACCCTCCCTTTTCATCAACTTTTTCTCATCACAAGACTCTTGGAACTCAAGATCAAGTTAGGGTTTGCTCTGCTCAAGACCCCTCCTTGCACTGTTGACCAAAATTAGGGTTTGAGTTTGCACAGGGATGTTTTGACCTAAAATGCCAAAAATGACTTTCATGCTTCATGTTGGACTCACAAGTTTATCCATACCAAGTTTCAAGCCTTGATTCCATTCTTTGCCCAGTCAATTGGACAGTTGACCTAGAAATCAGTTGTATTGGGGAAAAAGTCAACTGTGGCCAATTGACAGTCAAACTTCATGAAATTTGACCCACATCAACATTATGAACTCATATGAACCATTTGGTCAAGTTTGGATCACAATTCCATAAGAAATTTGATCAGATCACCAAAAGGGCAAAATGGTCATTTTTAGGGTTTTGACTGCACAAAGGCAATTTTTGACTGTTTGACCTAACCAATGGCAAACCAAGCTCACATATGGACTCAAGGAATAAATGGCATTGTCTTGACCCATTCAACAAGTTTAGAAGATCTCAAATGCATAGGATTGACAGATGAATTTTTCAGTCAACTGATCAAAATTTGACTGTATACTGAAAAGTCAAACTTTGACTTTTTGGTCAAAATCAAGTGCCAAGATTCATTTTTCATCAAGACTTGTCCAATTATGAAATTTGTTCATCAAGAAACCCAAAATTACAAATTAGGGTTTAAGATGAAAAAATTTCATAACTTAGAATTTTTCTAAGTTATGAAATTTCTTTATTTTTTCCTAACTTTGTCCCATTTTTTCACCAAGATGCAAATGGATTCAAACAAAACTTGAAACATAAAGGTTGTAGTCCATTGCAAAGCCTACAACTTTGATTCACAAAGTTTTCTCAAAGGAAGCTTTTATCTCAAGTTATGATTTTTGGAACAAGGGTGCAAAACATTTTTAACTTAGAGAAATTTTGCCCTATTCTAGGCAGGATTTTTGTCCAACTTTTTGGCCATTTTTCACATGGTTCCACTTGGAGTTTCAATTTGCATTACAAATATGGATTGTAGTACACATTCCAAGATTTCCAAATTGTCCAAGAACTTCTGAAACACCCTTGTGGTTAGAGAGAATCGAATTTGCAAAGTTGGCCAAAACTCACTTTTGTTCATGGCCAAAGCATGTTCACAACAACTTGCATTTTCAACTCAACATGGTTTATGCTAGATTGCAGGCCTCTAAACCTCTTCACACTCAATAATTTAATGTCTAACCTTTGTGTTAAGGCTTTATTTCATTCATTTGGACAATACATGCTAAATTAATCCTTAATTGGAAAAAGCAAACTTGCCATTTTAGAAAAGTGATACTTTATGTCAAAGATGAATCCTTGAGACATGGGGCCAGATCTTTGAGGCAAGATTGAGTCCACAAATTCCAGTTACCAAGAGCCAAAGTTGCAGCATACTTTAGGGCATTGTACAGGCCTGTATTGAAACTAGCACTTTCTTGCTTCAAGTAGAAGAAACTTGGCAAAACATATACCATCTTTCATTCCTGAAAACAAAAGCTTAAGAAAACTTTGTACACATCTTCCATACACCAAGACAAGCCTAAAGCACGATTCATTGATCCCTCACACCTCCCAATACTCAGAGTCCCTTTTTTGCTGCAAAATAGGGCAAGTTCTGCAACTTGACCTCTATAGAACAATCCACTCGTGCGTTTTTGCCAAAACCAGTGCAAACACTTTCCATTTCATCCATCCAAATTGTTTCAAGCCTTAAACACCAGCTGTAACATCCCTAACCACGTTTTCCATTTTCACTTTCAAGCTGTGCAGGTGAACTTCTACAGCACGATACAGGCAGTTTCAAAGCAAGCCAAGTATAGGAGAAGCATCCTTGGACCTCAGGCAAGCTATACAGAAGCTCAAACTCCATTGAAGGTTGCTATATTGCTCTGCACGATTCAAGATGAAACAGGTAATCCATGGACTCCTATCTCTCTATCTAGGAAGAGTTAAGCTTAGGTTTGTGAATGAAACATGTCCTACTCATAGCCCTGAAGCCATACATGTGATCAGTTTTTATTTATGTTAAGCGTGCTGTGAGAATTTTAGCCATGAACATGTGAAAAAAATTAGGTCAGAAATTGGGGGTGATGAAATTCTCCCTAGTTTCTTAGAGTTAGGTCAAGTGTTTTATATGGTTGAAATCGTTGCTTCAAGCTCTATAATTTTTATGTTTTAAGTTTTGTCAAAAGATCAAAGAATCAGGAGTTAGCAGGTGGAACAAGAGGCGCGCGTTTTTTGTTTCAAACAGAAGCTGGAGGTTGAAGATGATGGCTTGGGCTGGGCCTGAGTCATCCTTACTTTTTGCACCCCCTTTTTTAGTTTTGCACCCCCTGGCCCATTTGGTTAAATATTTGACATTTTTGCATTTTTCTTTTTTATTCTAACTTTATATTTTTTGCTCAAATATAAAAATTAACAAAAATATTTTTTCCTCATTTTTTGCATTTATTTGGCATTTATTTACCTTTTAATCATATATATGTAAATAATATAAATCTTTTCATTTATTAAAACCCTAAAAAATAATACAAAAATATTTATTTTTTAGTTATTATTTTTTATTTACATTTTGAAAACATTTTCTAAAATACACATTTTTGTAAATAATTAATATTTTACTTTTGTACATATTTAGCATATTTAATATATATAATATATACATGTATATATTTTATTAAATAATTAGGGCAAAAATACAAAAATAATATATTTTTATTTTTATTAATATATGACACTAAAAATACTCTTTTTACAATATACTTTTTATTTTTTGTATATAATTAACAAATATTGTACATAATTAATAAATAAATACTATTTATTCAAAATTAGGGTTTTGCCCTAAAACAACTAAATAACCACAAAAAAAAATGACTTTTTTTTATTTTGTTTATACTTCAAATATGAAAACTTTTTTACATACATAAAAAATTTCTTTTTTGCATAATACATTGCATTTTGATATTTATTTACATTGTATTTATTTAAATGTTAAATATTTGTATATTCGATATGGATGTAATAGCTTAGAATTTAATTTCTTGTCAAATATCCCCAAATTCAAACTTGTACCCCCATCCCCATAATCATTGTTGTA